TCTTCAAGATATATTCCTGAGGCTTTATCACCTATAGCAGAATGACCTATCAATGGAAGATTTCACGCCAAGGTTTGACCAGTTGTAAATGAAATGTAAGGTAGTTGAGCCAGAGGAACACACCATAGCCTGATATCTAGGGGGTCTAAAGCCAGCTACCAGTAACATTGTGCAGTTGCACCCCTATTGGTCACTAGCAAATGTCCAAACCTTAGCATTGCAAGTGGAGAGATAGCATAAATAGAACAAACAACGGTCATCATTAGATAGCCACCCACAAAGAAATTGGTAGGAGCACGCCTCAGGGGGTTGAGAAGGCTGGTCAAGATAAGAACACAGTCACTCAAAGTGAGAAGAAACTTGAGAAAAGTTGCACGCCCACTACAGTTACAACCAAAAAATACTTCAAATTTCATGGATTTGGACACATCACCCCAGTTGCCCAGCGAGTCGAGTTGTGTAATTTACCAAGCAGGGAGCAATGGAAGAAGTTAGCGACAAAGAAGCAACTGAAGAAGTGGGTGACGAGTATTAACTTCCATCATATGAGGGTGATATGCTTCTGATTCGATGAGTCCTTCAGATTGAGCCGCCAAGAGAGCGTCAATGGCTTCACCACAACATACTCTACACTTGTTGCACAGCGAAGAGAAAGGTATGCAGTACCATCATCAATGGAGAGAGCGGCAGGAATGTGGCATCAACACTAACGGTGGACAAACTGAGCCTCATGACTCAGAGACATTCTCAGTCGTACTCCCTAACGTGGTTGAACTAGAGCAGATTCAGCATTGATAGGAGGTGTCTCGTGTAGTTTTGATTAGGAGCTAGCTACAGGATCAAGTTTGTTGTGATATTATGCTCATGGATGTTTGCCACCTTTTACTGAGGAGAACATGGTAGTACGATCATAGAACTCAACATCATGGAAACAAAAATACTAACTAATTCACAAAAGATGGAAAGCACATATTTCTCTTACCTTCTGCGGAGTCCGAGGTGACATGAGTTTGACCACTTGTATTGTTAAAACCTGTTGAGGATAGTGAGACAATGGAACCAGCTTCAGATGCAGAACCAGTACAAGGAGAACTATGCAGCACTGACACTTCTAAAAATATGTCGGACACGTATCTGACATCAACACTTCTCCGACAAGCCCCGACACTTCTCCGACACTAAAAAATATGTCTGGAGTTTTTTTCAGGCCCGAACACATCTGAGTAACACTTCAACACCACGTCAGACGTGAGCTTAACAGGATTTCGAGAAAATGGGGCACAGAAATTAGAAAATTATAAATATACATATAGTTTTAATTACACCTTGTAGTCAAAACTGCCCCATCTCTCATCATATTGAAGCTCTCTCTAACATTAGTCAAAATCGAGCATCGAATATGAATCAAATATTCATCGAAGTCGAGCATTAGTAATTCCCTATTATAATCATATATTTTTTTAAATTTTAGTAGATAATTAGATTATAAGTTGAATGAATTTTTTTTAAATATATTATATCTAATTTTAAAAATTAATATTCATAAGCATGAGGATTTATAATATAAATTAAATTTATGAAGTTAAATTTTATTCTTGTATAAATTGTGTTGTGCTTTTAATAAAGATTAATGAAAAAGATATATATTTTATATTAGTAATTAATTAAATATAAAAATGTGTCAATGATGTATCATGTCCTATTTTTTTCAATTATGTCGTGTCCACATATCTTGTCGTGTCTATGTTTGTATATGTGCTTCATAGCAAAAGAGTTTAAGGAAATGATGTTCGATTGTTTAATGTTGACCCGACCAGCAATTACGCAGATATTTATGTTTCTTAATATGTCAAAAACTTGACTTAAATGATATTTAGTGGCTAGTGAGAATAAATTGAATATGATAAAATTTACAGAAATAGTTTTCTCACTAGGGGTACTACGCAAGTATACGTATCGTTTCAAGTAATATATAGTTTTCTTTAAAACTTCAGCATCGATCCCGCGAGGAAGCCGAAAACAAGTAAATAATAAAATGAAATACAACAATTTTGACTTTAAGAAAACTTTACTTAAGATTGCAGCAACTATCGAAAGATGAAAATTAAGTTTACTAAATTATAAAACATGCAAGTAAAAGTAAATGTAATGACTTAGACAATATATAGAAAAAGACTCTCCTTGTCAATAATTCATAATCAGTGTAGGATTTCAAAATCTGTTTAAAAACTTAAATATGGTATTGTGACAGATAGGAGTATACATATTTTCTTTCTTTTGAATAGTGCAAAGAACATTGGCTAATCTAAAGTTGGAGTCGGCATGTATAGTAGTGTTGGGTAAGTTCTAGTCTCACTTCAAGATTACCCACTGTGCCCTCTCTATAGGATCTATCAGTGGCTCTTAGTTCCAATCTCTAGACCAAATTGATAAAAGAATCTAGTCTGTCACTCTAGAAACATCAATTCTACGTCCATCAAATCTCATCTCCCTATCCATTTGTATCCCTCTTTAGTCGATCGCGACTACTCTTTCCAAGGTAGAATGTGATACTTACAAGTCAAGAAATTTTACCATTTTGAGTATTTCGAGTCTATAAGTTCCTCGACAGGGTTTAAAAATACAAGTGGTCAATTTGTAAAGTAAACAAATGACCGATAAAAATATCATCACAATTTTTAGGAATAAAAGAAGTTTTAAACAAAATCAAAATCACTTATTTAATTACTTCAAATTGCAAGGAAAAAGAAAAAAAAACTACTCACAAAGCATGAGGATAACAAAACAAAACATATTTATAAAACTTTAATCCAATGTACAAAATTTTAAGACAAAGATACAAATACTTATCTGGAATGTTCCCTCAAGCACTCCTTTAAAGTTATTTGACTTCTCTGACTCCAACAGCACTTACAAGACTCACAAACTCCAGAAATAACAAAAGCTCAAAAAGGAAACTTCTCACACACTTAACACACAGGCACACTCTGAGACTCTATAGATCTCACCCCCTAGCCTCTTGGAATTAATTCATATTTATAGAACTTCAAAAATGACCAAGGGTTGTTTAAAACATCTCTTCAAAATTTGGTCTCATTCAATGAAATCACCAAGTAACTACTTCTGGCGCGTAGCGCCTAGGCGCCCAAATGTCGCGCCTAGGCGCCCAGATCGGTTGGTTTAATACTTTTTCTTCAATTTAACCCATTTTGCTCCTTTTTAATATTTTTTGCTCTTTTTTACTCTTAAAACTTTTTTTCTTGCACCTGCGACTAAAAACATAAAAGTACTCTTCATTAAAGCATAATATCCTCAAAAATTGAGTATAAAATGTGCATAAACTATAGGTAAATTTAAGGTGGATCAGAAATCGCCCGCCATGGTCATCATCATTCGATTAGATTCAAACTACACCAACTTTAGATCAGGTTGTGCCAATTTTGGTCTACTTTATGATGATTCAACAATATATGACATGCATACCTAGTTCAATAGTGAGCTCTCAGAATATTGAACTGATATGGATGGGTGCTCATAAATAGGAAAGGCTCCTCAAGCGTTTAGAAAGATAATGCAGTCATTAGCGAGATCCAAGAGCTTTTAGGCTCGCAGTCAAAGAGCCTTCAGTCCTGAGAAATTACTACAGCTCCATTACCGACAACGGTCAGACAGAAGCTTCGACGATTGAGGTCAAAGTTCATCCAAATCTAGCAGACTGACACGTAGCTCATGGGCTCAACTGGATGGAGTGGTTGAACTAATTCAGGCAAAGAGTTCAAATGGCCAGTCATCCCTTTGCGTCGTTTAGGGTTGCCGCCCAAGGGGATGGATCTTCCCCCTTCTAGTTATCTACTATTATATATTTTCTCTAATTAAGGTTCAATTTTTGCTTGTACTTCCTGCAAGGACAGTCATCAGTGTCTTAAGTCTTCCCTTATAAGGTGGTATACAATGGTGACTAGTGTTCCGGCTATATCATGTTCTGAGATAGTGATGATCCTCAACTTTCCCATCCACCGCGACCTTGCCTCCACTGTCACCGCACCTTTACCATGCTACAGTCGTCGAACAAGCTATATGGACCTTTTTTTCCTACAGTGCACTTCCCCCTCCTCCCCCCCCCCGCCCGGCCCTTCCTCCCCCCCCCCCCCCCCCGCTTCTTCCCATTGCGTTAGATTTCCTCCCACCAGCCCAGCCTTCATCCTCCCCTAGCGTAACCCAACCACCAGCCCTCCTTCCCCATTGTAATCCCACCGTCAACCCTCACCTGTCACTGCATCAAGCCCAAACCACCAGCTTTCATCCCTCCCTACTGCTAATCAGCACCCGGCCTTCCTCCATCCACCTCAACCATCCAATCAATCACAAGTTTGTCGCCCTTCCATCATACAGTCCTCCATAATTTTTACTGCCCCTCAAACCGCAGTGCCTCCATCCTGACCTATGCCCTAGTTCTATGTTTGTGTCATTGTTTTTCGGTTTTCAAGTGCCTTGGTAGTAATCTCCTTTGAATTTCAACTATAATATTTTCGTTCCGTTATGGGTTTTAGTTAACTCCGATATCATTATGCGCAATGAGATTTCACCTCCCTGCATGTCATGCCTCGTATATTTTGAAAGGGTCCTTAGCTAATAAAAATATATTGAACTTTGCCACGTTGGTCATTAAAGAAGTATTAGGTAAAAAACGATAAAAGAATAGGAGAGCAAATCTTTTAAATCAAAAAAAAATTCAAGCATTTGCAGTCCTAAATTTCAAATCTCTCTCCTATTTCCTCTCTCTCTCTCTCTACCTTGTAAATGCCTTTTTTTATCGGCTTGCCTCGAGCATAATGTAAAAACAATCATATCAATCTAAACCTATATTGTCAACGTTTTGTCTACATATGATACACTAATTTGATCAATGTCCTAAGAAAAATATCAGTAAGCTTTTATGGTGGTTTAGATCAATATAAAGCCCGCAAGTAATAGATTCAAAAATAAATAAACATGCTTACAGTTTGGTAAGATATTTTTGACCAAGACCTGATGGCAATTCTCCACTCAATGAATTAGAGCTTAAGTTCCTGCAAGAAAAAAAGTAAGCATACTTTGAAGTAAAGATAGAAAAACCAATACATCAAAATTGCTAAGAATAAATGAGCATAGTTCTTAAGCTAACAGCAGAAAAGATTAACGTTACAGAATAAAGATATATCATTGATAGCAATTACAAGAAAAACAAAAATTTCGTGGGTGAAAAAATGGCAGTTTATATAACAAAAAGATGAACCATGCAACTTCTATGGGTTAAATTCATCATGAATTCAAGTGGCTATAGAGTAATAAACACATAGAAATTAAAAAAAAGAGAGAAAAAAAAGGTTAGAGATGGGAGACACCAATGCAGATTTTGATAACCACAATATAATATCAAAATTTTGATAAAGTATACTGCAAAAATACCCAAATAAATTAACCCAAAATTTTAACTTTCTCAAAAAGCATCCCATTGCATTCTACTCTTCAAAGCAATTATTCTAATAAATAATACTATATGCAAATTCTCAACGATGAGAAAATTATGAAATTAGTTTCCATATTTATTAAATTTCCAAAAGTTTTTATTTTAATGATAATGTTCATGGATTACTGTAGCAGTTTTTTCTTTTTCCATTTACCGTCGCCTGCATTGAATTTGTTATCAAGCAATGGTGGTGATTTGCTTTAAGAAATATATGTAATGTTATGTAGTTAATTATATTTATACATAAATAAAAGAATGTTAAAGATACATTTATTCATTTTACCCAACCCGTGATTTAGCTTGAAGGCTGAAACAGAGAGAAGTCTGTGAGGAAAAATTTGGAAAGAAGAGAAGGAGAAAGAAGAGCTGGAGAGGGAGAGGAGGAAATGATAAAGTTAGATTTTGATTTCAAACTTACAATTTTTTTTTTCTCTAACAAAATGATTTCAAATAGGAGTAATAGGCCTTTAAGCTAGTACTATCTTAAGGTTGTTTTTAAAATAAAGAAATTTTGAGTGGCGGACTTTTTATATATAAATTATTTAAGTTTGTTCACATATACTTTGAAAATTAATTTTAAAAATATACTTCTCCGATTTGAAATCCTCTATCAGCTCAATCATTATTAGTGTTTGAACATTTAAAACACTTATGCTTGAAATTTATTTGAAATTTGCCAATTGAATATCTATAACATGTCAGTCTCATCAACTCGGTCCTTATGAGAAGGATCAGAGAAAGTGATTTGAACTTGTTGATTTCGAAAATAGGCCCCTCCATTTGAAGTTCTCTATCAAAAAGATCATCATCAAATTTAATCTCTTGATCTGAACTCTGTTGAATTTACTTCTCTCACAAAGAATCAGACTTAGTATGCATATATAGGTACATGAACCTTATCAACTCTACCATGCTTAAAGAGAATTAGGTGTGTGTGTGTGTGTGTGTGTATGTGTATATATATATTTATTATTTAAGTTTATTCAAACATATTTTAAAAATTATATTTAAAAATATACCACTACGATTGAAATCTTCCATAAACTCTGGCATCAATAGGGATTTCAATATTAAAACACTTATGCTTGAAATTCATCACTTGAATATCTATAGCATGTTAGTCTCGTCAACTTAAGCTTTATGAAGAGAATGATCAAACTAGATGATTTAGACTTGCAAATTTTTATATTTGTGATTTGAATATTATTAAAACTTACGAGACTCAATCAACTTAAGTCCTTAAAAATGAGGACATAACTAGTAGGATGGGACATACAAGCCTAACTTAATGATAAGGCAGCTCCATTGAAAGATTACATAATTTAATTGTCTTGAGTTTGATTTCAAAAAAGAGATTTTATAATTTTAAGATTAGTGCATACTTTTTTTCAAAAAGAAGTTTGTTAAACCTTGAAATCATTTAGAACTTTGAATGTTTGTAAAAATAATGTGATTTTGGATGACACAATTTCATTTTAGGCTTTAAAAGGAATAGCATTTTGTTCGCTAATAAGTGTAATGTGAGTTCGATGGTGATTGGGCATACAATGCCATACATTAACATTGTTAGAAATCCGCCTGCAAGCAAGGCCTCATTATGCTCAATTCTTCCTCTTTCCTTTGTACATGAAGCTTGTGCTCGTCTTCTGATAAGCACCCGCACCGAACGACTAGGGTTCACCGCCCTTCTCCCGCACGAAGCCACTCACTTCTTCACACAGGAGCTACTTGATATGCCCTCTTCTTTACACAATTGACTCACCTTCAAGCCCACGACATGCTCAGTGGTTCTTCCTCCTTGCATCCCACAAGTTGCATTCTTGCTCCCACCTCCTCCTATAGGTGAGACGCACTAGCACTCTTCTTGCACAACCTTCCTGTATGATGCTTCTTCCTGCTCTCAATTGCGTCTACTAGTTTGAAATGGGGCATGGGCATTTGTCCCTTAATTACAAAATCATTAAGACGGTTATGTTCGAACCAACCCAATGAGTCTATCATATTTATTTATTTATTATTTTTCAGTTATTAAAGATGTCTAGACGTATTAATTATATCCTACAAACTATTTATGTGATTCCAAGGAGATTTTTCACTTTTATCATCGTCCAAGATGTCATAAAATGTGGATGCTTTTCTCAAGCATCTAGACGTATTAATTATATCCTACAAACTATTTTTGTGATTCCAAGGAGATTTTTCACTTTTATCATTGTGCAAGATGTCATAAAATGTGGATGCTTTTCTCAAGCAATTTCAATGTTTCAGGGTCATAAGCGAAGTCTATTTTGTGGAATGAGCAGAGGCTAGTTGATTTTGGTTGTGGTCGAGGCGGTTTGAATATGATATGTGTGGCATCGCATTTGCCATCCACCATATTCACATATTTGGTCGAATCACCTACGGTAGTCTTTTCTTAGCAATTTCAATGCTCAAATGCAATGAAGCAATTTGTTGTGCGAATTTTGGATGATTTTAATAATGATGCAATACAATATTGATTTTTGCAATGACCTAGTATTTGTCCTCTACCTCTGTGGTATTTAATCTTTTTATTTTTTGTATTTGATCAAGTTGAGTTATAGAATAGGTATGAAAACCGTGAGTATATTCCACAAAAAAAGTGAAAGGACAAATCCAGTCAAATTTACTCATTGCACATCCTATTTCAACAGAATCAATCTCAATAATGATTTACCAGACAAGCAAATTATACTCATTCAATATAAGAAAAATCTGTAATTTTAGGAGGGTTATTTTTTTGGAACATCATCAATCAAGAATGTTTAGCCACCAACCTTCCCAAGCACAAACTGATATTGTTCTCATCTACATGATTCCCAATGCAGGTACAAACCTCAAACCAAAAATGAAGCTGAATATAAAGTATTAATAGTAGGTAATGAAATAATTGATTTACTGAATATTCAAAATTCACATTTTTTTGGCGATTATCAGTCCATCTTTAAAAAAAAAAAAAATTGGCCATCAATAAGATAAATAAGCTTGAGTTGGCTTATTATGACAAACGGGTTCTCAAGCTCATTAAACATATTCACTATGGTCACTCTAGCTAGAGTATCCCATGCTCAAAATAGCAAGCAATAGTGCTCAGCCAGGCCAGTTAAAGAGATGGTAAATATGAATAAAAAACATGTGTTGATTGGAGCTGTCCAGATATGGAGATGGCACAGTTATAATCCCCATTCGTAGAGAGGTCATTAGATTTAAGCCAACATGACATAATTTCGATTGTTTCTCACTCCCTCCAAGTATATTTCTAAAATTTAAAAAGGTACTCAAGAAGAACATGAATTCGAGGAAACTCTAGAACTACAATAAAATATTCATGATAGAAGAGCATGATGATTGGAGAAAACATTTTGTTGATTGCTTTAAAAAAGGTAAATTGCTCAAAAATAAATTGATTGTCATGCAAGGGCTTTATTATATGCTGTGTCAATAAAACCATTTACCGTAAATCTTTTGATCAAAAGTGGGTACAATGATCAAGGCCAATGAAACCGACAAAAATGTAATATAAGCTCACACAAGACTTTATGGTGCACATCAATCAAGACCCGAGATTAACAATGAAGAGTAAAAGAACAAATAATTGTTGGCTTTTAAAGATAAAAATATGCATCGACAGCATCAAAAAGCATTACACGTATCAGATCCATGATGACACAATACATCAACCTCCAAATCCATTTCACCCAATGACATCAGATGACCATTTAAAGACTAAACTATGGATGTAATTAGACCCATTGATTCATCACCATCTGCACGACACCACTTAATCCTAATAGAAACTCTCTACCTCTCCAAAAAGGCTAAAGCTGTTCCATTCAAAAGAAGCCACCGTCAAGCAAGTAATTAAATTTTTTATCCAAAATATTATCTGCATTGTGGATGTGATATATCCCATCATTTTAGATAACGGGATAGCATTAAAAGTGGAAATATAAACAAAGTCGCTGAGCAACATAAAAAGGCAATACTCCGCAATATAATATCTAAAGGCAAATGACTTATCAAAAGACTTCAATAAGACTTTGGTCAAGCCACTCAAGAAAAACTTCATCAAAAAAGAACGAAATGACATCAAAAATGATATAAATGTTATGAGCATATCGTACAACCTGGCCAACAAAAGCCACGCTCTGCAATGATATTCTAAGTTGAAGCAGCCTTGTCACTTGAAGTTGATATGTTGACTATCATTACTTCAAGTAGTTGTCCAATACAACCTCACTCCAAAGAAAAATGCTCATTTATAAATGAAAAATCTTGATGCACTCAATGAAATTAGACTCCAAGCACAACAAAATTGAGAGATATATCAAGCAATGTATGGTGCGCCCTCGGACATAACTGAAGGGCATTTCAAGAAAATTTCTATGAAGGACCTTTTAAAGTACCAAATCAAACTTAAAGACCCAATTGAAAGGTTTTTAAAAAAATGTAAACAAACATAAAGTAACCCTCAATCTTAATTATCCGGGTGTAATTAAATCCCTTCAGATTTATGCTTAGTACTCTTAAACATGCAACTTCAGAATCAGAGGAAGCAATGGTTCTTTATAAGAAAAGAAGAACCATTCGGACATACTAGCTTCTGAAATCCAATTAATTCAAGCAAGAAAAAAGAAGGATTAGATGAGGAAGTAGTTTATCCAATATTCCAATGGTAACTTTTACAGAACAGGAGAAAAAGCCATTGGTAAAGATTGAAAACAAATAATCACAGATGTTACTAACAAGCTAGAACATAACAAAAATATAGGAATCAAAATAATCAACTTGGATTGCAAAAGCAGGTTATAACTTTTTGTTATTAGAAATAAAGAATATTGCTTAAAGCAACTATTTTAAAAGAAACAAGGAATCCCAACAAAAAAATAATAGTAATTGGCTCAACAATCTTGTTGTTGAACTGTAGTTCAACCATATCAAAATACGCAATGAGACTCAAACAACAGCTCTAGAAAAGAGAGAATAAAAAGACTTTAACAACGCATGATACTTACAAGCTTACCAAGTTGGATAGCTGACTTATTTGGTCACTAATGTAACCCTTCAAACCCTGGCTCCCAAGATCACTGCTTGAGAAAAAAATTTAACGAGTAATCAGTAAATGGTCATTTTCAATTCAGAAAGAAGCTGAAATGACAGTACAGATAACACATTAAAAATTCAAAGTATTGCAGAAGTGTCTGAACTTTGCTTAAGCAGGGGAATGTTGAGCCTAGCGTTAGCTATTAAAACATTGCTTGTGCGGAAGAATGCTGAGCCTCTGGTTTCAATAAGAGCAAACACTTTGGTATATTTCGGCAAGTATTCTGTTTTAAGTGTGTTACATAGGTTTAACCTTCTTACATTACAATTAATTACGTGAAAATTATAACTTAAAGAAACAATTATCAAAGAAATTTGAAATGAAGAATTTAGGTCCAATCAAGAAAATTCTCGGCATGAGAATCAACAAGGACAAAAGTACAGGTACATTTAAGTTATCTCGGACATAATATGTTGAGCAGGTTATACACAAAGTTAACATAAATGAGACAAAATCTATTTGCACCTCCTTAAGTAGTCATTTTAAACTATCTAAGAAACAGTCGCCTAAGTTGAAGCAAAGCAAACAATGATGAGAAGATCTTCGTCTGGTTCAGCGCTAGAAGTTTATATATGTGATGATATGTAAAAGACAAGATATTTCCCATGTAGTCGGAGTGATCATTTGGTACATAAGTAATTCAGGTAAACATTATTGGGATACGATAAAGTAGATTCTCAGATACTTTAGAGGAACAGTCAACTAAGTACATTGTCAACTAAGTACATTGTCTTGGAAGTGCAGGGATTAATTTATAGGTACAGGTAGATTCAGATCTGGCATGAAATATTGATGGTAGGAGTACAACAAGTTATAACTTAACTTTGGGAAATACGACAGTGATTTGAATTTCTAGGTTAAAAAAATTGTTGCATTATTAACTACAGAAGTTGAGTATACTATTATAATTGAGGCTAGCAAGGAAAAGATTTGGTTGCAAAGTTTTATACATAATTGGGCAAGAAGCAAGAGAATGGAAAGCTTCATAATGTCAGTATGAGCCTCATTCATCTAGCAAAGCATGCCACATTTTGTGTCAGGAGGTCAGCCATCATAACATTTCACTTTTTACTCCTTAAAGAAGGTCAAATATCTTTGAAAATAATAGACACAGTTCAGAATCTTGTAGATATGTTGACTAAGGTTGTAACAGCTAAGATATTGAAGCTAGCTTTGGCTTCAGTTGAAGTTCAGAAAGATTGAAACAGGGATGAGCCACGCTACAATTCATGATTATAAAAATGGTGCAAATTTTGAGGAGTTAGAAGTGATTGCAATCAGTCCTAAATTGAAAGATTGTTATGTTGTGGAATATGATTATGTCAATCAATTGGTCATTTAAAGCCCTCGGTTTCACCAGTCAAGCCTGATGGGGAGTTTATTCGAGGATTACGCGGGGGAGAGGGGGCATTGTCCTCCGACAAAATAATTATGTACAATACGTTAATGCTCAAAGGGTAACTCCACTGCGTCCGATACAGGTTCAAACTCAACAGCACGACGCCCCAACGCCCGGAGGGAGAGAGTCGCATGTGGTGCCCCGACACTGAGACAAACAACATCCAAGGCCCGGTCCAGGTTCAAAAACCCAAGAGCACAACACTGCGACACCACAGTGCCATATTGGAGCGTCGCCACACCCGATCACCGCACTTTAGTGCTAGTAACCGAATTCAAGCAATTCAAATTTATATTTTTGCTTCATTGCAGGATTTTGTCCGATGAAGATGTGGTGTAAGTTGTACAATTCTCTTCAATTTCCATTGAAGAATTGTTGACTATACAAAAAAATTGGAGAGAAGAAAAAGAGATAAGTTATATTAATTAACATAAAAATTTATCTAATCTTGTCTTCTCACCTGTTGGAGCCTAGTTAAGTGGGGTAATTGTTCCCTCGCCGTAAATGACATTGGAGCTAAAAATGTATAATTTGGGGCAAAAAGAGGTAATTTTCAAAATGTTCATTCGAGAAAATGCGACTACCCATTTGTGGGGAAATTAAGTACCGTTTGAGGAAAAAAGTGGACTCGTTTGAAAAAGATTTTTAAAATCGGGACTTTAAAACACCCGCCATGGGAAATTGAGTATCATTCAGTGAAAACAAAATACCAATCGAGAAATACTAGTTTGTCAACTGACCTTTTTGTGTAGGTACATTAAAGGCTCGTTGCATCTTTTAAGATCGCGGCTTAAGTTTGGATTTTTGCTCCTCGATCGCAATGTATCACGACACTAACCATCTCAGTTCTTAATATAGTTGGGAAGGTTGGCATCCTTCGGTGCCCCCAAACAGTGGTTGACATCAGGAGGCTGTCGAAATCTTCGGTGATTTGGACTTGTAATTTTTTTAAAGTATTTGAAATTTTGGACTTTAAAATTAAAAATAAAACATCACTCATTTAAATTTTAAAATGATTGAGAAAACTCCAGCTTTTAAAATTTAGGCTCATAGGATTTTAAAATATCGATAAGTCGCCTTATCTATATGATAGGATCGTAAGTCCCACTCCACCAGTTCGATCCTCCTCTTAAGAACTAGAGTTGACGAGTCTAGCAAGCCCTATTAAATGTCTAAATCCTAAAATAGAAGTTTACAAGTCCAAAAGTCCTTGTTAAATGAGAGCAAAATCTCTACGTAATATCTTATCTACAATCAAATATGTCTTCTAAAAAGTCGACCCTCCTAAGCTCTCTCAAAACAAAATCAAAATTAATTGTAGAGATTTTCACAGGGAGTGATCGTGAATTTTCGAAGCCCACAGGCTTTTTTAGTATGATATGGCTTCATAGTTTTTTTTTCTCGTTCTCAATGTTTTTCACGTTAAATTTATGTGATTTTTATATATTTTTTATTATTTATTTTTGTTCTTGTGTTTGAAATTTTGCTTCAGATCGCTCGAATCAGTTTTTGCGGCTTCAATATCACTTCCACAATACCGAATAGAGAGTTGGAGGTGTGTAAAGAGAGTTCTCAAGTGGCTTAAGTATACAAGGAAAAAATGAAGAAAAGTGAGAAGAGAAGAAAGAAGAAAAAAAAATAAAATAAGAAAAAAAGAAGAGGAGAAGAGGGAAATTAGAATAAAAAGAAAACATTGAAAAAAAATGAAAAGAAGAAGTAAAAGAAAATGAAAAGGAGCAGAGGAAAATAATAAAAGGACAAAAAACTTGGATTCGAGTAAGAAATCTAATTTTTGTGAATTTTTCTGTGAATTGAGTTGATTATGAGAATGAGGAAAAATTTCCTACGACATAAAATGTTATATCAAAATTAAATGAATTATTGATTTAGGAATTGATAATTAAATGAGAAATAATATTTCTTGGTTGTTTATGAAATAACTTATTAGAATATTTTAATGGCTTGTAATAGTTATTATTTAATTTTGATTATTCTGAGTTATTTTCTTTGATTTCCTTGCTTTTTTCTATTATATTCAGTTTTATTTATTTTCCTTTCTACTATATCCTAAGTTTATTTTTTTTCATTTCTATTTGGTCATGTAATGGGTATATATTAGCCTCTTGGTATCAATAAAAAATATATTGGGTTTTATTCTAACATGGTATCAGAGTAAAGCCCTAGATGCAGCAGCCCCCGGCCTCCTCTGCTGGTTCCAACAGCAGCCCCCGGCCTCCTCTGCTGGTTCCAGTAGCCGCCTCTTCAGGCTCCTTTTCCTATCCGGTGACCTCCTCTGCCTGGTTCGTGAACTGCAAGAAGACAAAAAGCCATCCTACTGGTCTATTCGCAGATCTGTAAAAAGGCCCGCCTGGTTACTGTTTTTCAGGAAGGCCCGCGTGGTTTCGGCTCTACAGGAAGGCCCGCCTGGTTTCTGTTCTATAGGAAGGCCCGCCTGGTTTCTGTTCTACAGGAAGGCCCGCTTGGTTTCTGTTCTGCAGCACGCTTGGTCTGTGTTCTACAAAAAGGCCCGCCTGATTTCTATTCTGCAGGAAGCCCGCCTGGTTTCTGTCCTGCAGGAAGCCATCCGCTGTTCTGTCTGCACCAAACAGTCGCTGTTTGCAGGAAGCTATCTAATGTTCTGCATGAAGCCATCTGCTGTTCTGCAGGAATCTCACAGATTACTACTGTTGTCGTTGTTCTGCGGGAAGAATTCCTGCAGCTGTCCTGCTACTTGCAAATCCTGCAGTTGTATCTATTTGTCGTGATTTTACTGAAATTCATCAATGGCTCAAAACCACAATAACATATCATTTGGCTTGGTCAGAATTATGATTGATTCTTTCAATAAATCACCCTCAGAAAACGTTCTTTGATTCCACCGGAGAATTGACTCCAACCTCCGCCCCCTTGTTTGCCCTCCACCGGAGAATTGACTCCAACCTCCGCCCCCTTGCAGACCACAGGGCCAGAAACCAACATAATTTTTTTATCACAACTCATACGTTAAACGGCAACAATTTTTTTCAATGGTCTCAATCTGTATCTTTGCTCATTAAAGGCCATGGGAAATTTGGTCATCTCACTAGTATGATTTGTGAACCTCCAAGACAGACCCAGTGTACGGAACTTGGGAAGTGGTCATGTCGGGGCTGATCAACTCCATGGAAACTTTAATTGGCCGATCATAAATGTTCCTTCCTTCTAGCAGTGCCCTTTGGACGGCAGTCCGTGATACCTTCTCAGATATGGGGAATTTCAACCAACTTTATGAGGTATCTAAGAAAATATGTGAGACAAAACAAGATCCCAGACCATGACCCAGTACTATGATGATCTAGTTGCATTATGGATGGAATGCGAGTTATATTATGACAATGCTTGGGAATCTCAGGCCAACCTGTCTTTTTTTTTCAGAAAACTATAGAAAAGGACTGCATGTTCCAATTTTTGGCAAGCCTCAACAAAGATCTTGATAAAGTTTGTGGTCTAATCCCTGATCGGGATCCTCTTCCTTCTACTCGTGCTGCTTTCACTGAGATTTGTCACGAAAAGAGTCGAAGACTCGTAATGCTTGGTACTTCCAC